GGGTGGGGTGGCGCACAGAGCGGGGAACAGCACTGCGGGGAACAGCACTGCGGGGAACAGCGCATCTCCCCGGGAACCGTCTCCTCGCTAGCGAACAAACGGCCGGCAGGGGCGCTCTCAGCTTCCAGCCTCTGCGCTCCGAGGGCTGCAACAGACTTGAACACAGGACTTCCCGCATGTTCTCAAAGAACACAGTCTGGAACTACTGTGCAAATCCAATTTAACTATTTATTTAACTGTTGTGCAAATCCAATTTAACTATTAAACTATTGTGCAAATCCAATTTAACTATTTATTTAACTGTTGTGCAAATCCAATTTAACTAACTGTTGTGCAAATCCAATTTAACTATTAAACTATTGTGCAAATCCAATTTAACTATTTATTTAACTGTTGTGCAAATCCAATTTAACTATTTAACTGCTGTGCAAATCCAATTTAACTATTTAACTGTTGTGCAAATCCAATTTAACTATTTAACTATTGTGAAAATCCAATTTTAAAAAGCAACTACATAAAACAAGAAATCCCATTTTTGTCTAAGAAGCCAAAGTACACACACCTATTAACATCTATATAAATATATTTAATAAAAATAAAATTAAAATAAAAAATTTAAACAATCAAATATATACTATATTAAATATATGTAAATGTATTTAAAGTTAATTATATATTAAATAAATAATTAAAATTAATACATATATTAAATTATGAAAGTAATGTAATATGTAGTAAACATATACGTGAATATTTTAAATGTAATATAATTTCATATATATTTAAAATATATATTTAATATTTATATATTAATATCTATATAAATATATATAAAATTAAAATTTTAAATTTAAACATTAGATATACACTATATTATATTAAATATATGTAAATATATTTAAATTTAATTATATATTACATAAATAATAAATAATTAAAATTAGCAAATATATAAAATATATGTTAAATCATAAAAGTAATGTAATATATAGTAAACACATTTAAATATTTTAAATATAACTCAATATATATTTAATATTTATATATTAATATTTATATAAATATATTATATAAAATTAAAATTTAAACTTTAAATATAAACTATATTATATTAAATATATGTAAGTATATTTAAATGTCATTATATATTACATAAATAATAATTAAAATTAATAAATATAATATATATTAAATCATAAAAGTAATGTAATATATAGTAAACATATATTTGAATATTTTAAATGTAATATAATATAATTTGATATATATTTTTAAAATATATTTTATGTTTATACATTAATATCTAAATATATCTGATACATTTAATTAAAATAAAAAATTTAAACATATTAAATATATACTATATTGTTAAATATATGTATATATATATTTAAATTTAATTCTATATTAAATAAATAATTAAAATTAATAAATCTGTATTAAATATATATTAAATTACAAAAGTAACGTAATAATGTAGTAAAGATATGTTTGAATATTTTAAATAAAATTAAATATATATTTAAAATATATATTTAATGCTTATATATTAATACCATATAAATATATAGTGTATACATGTTTGTGTATACACACATGCACATATATACACTACGCACATATATATTAAACTAGAAAAACATAACATACTTTAGACATATGAATATGATAGACATATAATACTAGATACAATAATCAGAAAGGAAAACGATTTTACTAAAGCTGACTCTAAATGTCTACAGATAAAGTGGCCCAGAAAAAAACATAATATCCTGAAGTTTCAGGCCCTCAACTTTGGTTTCTGCTGACCACCCACAGTTCTCAGGTCCTGCTGAGTGAACACAGAAAAAGTGTATTGAGTAAACGTCTGACCACCGGGATGGAGCTCCCGCTCCCGTCCAGTCTGAGGGCCAGGTCTGACGAATTTTAGGAGGAAAGATGGAACCCACAACCCTTTCCCATGCTTCTCAAACCAAAGTTATGAATCATAACCCTGGACTGCCCCATCCCTGGGAGGTGCGCTTAGGGATCAGGCAGGCAAGAAAAGCCACAGAATATAAAAAAAAAAGTTTCATTCCCTTGATTTTGCTTGAAGAATTATGGAAAACTCAAAGTATAGATGGTGCCAATTAAAAGTTACTAACTATCCAAAACTGGAAGGCATGCATTGGCCAAATTCCCATTTTTAAAAGCAGAATATACTAGATGGTCCAAGAATCTAAATAAATGAAATAGCCCTGCGTTTAATCGGAGACCAAAGATCTATAGCAAAGCCGTTTTATAAAAAACTCACTGGGCCGCTGGAATTGATTGTAATTGATGCTCAAAAGCCTGAAGTGAGTGTATGCGTGAAGCATTCTCCCACTGCAGTGAGAAAGGGTTTCTGACATCAGGTTTTGAAAAGGGAAACCCACTCTGGTTTCCTCTCTCTAGGAAGACGCTCCAATCTTCCCCACATCCCAAATGCCGCCGTGGACGGGAAGGCCTCCAGGATTAGTCCAACAGGGCAGACGTTGGCTACTGTGCTTATTCACATTCAAGTTAAGTAAAGTGAAAAGCTCCGCTGTTTTGATCCCACGAACTGCATTTCATGTGTCATCAGTGGGGACCGCCTGGCGGGCTGCAGAATTATGGACCGTTTTCATCTGTGCAGAAAGCTCTGGCTGTGGTCTAGTTCCCTTTTCTTTGGTGTCTAAAGCAGCAGTGCTCCCCCACCAACATTATTAAGTGCTGTAAAGTTCGGTCTCCTAAAATAAACTCAAGTTCTTGTATTTATTTTATAGTTACATAAAATAAAGTCTATATATTTATTGTAAACTCAGTGCTAATTTAGACTAGCGTGAGAGTGGAGACCTCAAGTACAGAAGTCTGCGTGTGTCACTCAGGCAGGAGGGGCTCCACCCGCCCCCTTTCCAGCACCTCCACCGACCTCAGGTAACCGCACGCGCCCTTAGGTGACAAAGGGTCCCCGGTGCTACTGACCTCGGGCACCTTAGGTGGGCCAGCCTTCACCTTTGCTTCGGGAACTTTTTCTTTCAGAAACACAGTGTGCACATTCAGGGTCCCAACTAAAGTATTTGGCTTAAAACTCAAAGGCTGCTGGTTTTCCGAAGAGCGGATCTCCAGGGCATGGGTGGATGGGTTCAGATGGTTCTGAAGGCAGAGCTCAACCAGTAAATCCATCATTGCATGGCTGGAAGAAAGATACAAAGCATGGTCACTGGAAATGTTTGCACTCTCCCTTCTGCTAGCCCAGTGGGGCTGGAACAAACCAAGCCGTGGACGAATGAGCAAATCCTTTGTGCCAACAGCCCTCATTAATTCCTCATGCATGACTGTGCGCCAATACCTCCACGTTTTCAACGCGAATTAAAACCACCACTGAAAGAGCAGCCCAAATCATAATTGCTGGGAAAATGGTGAGATTTCCAGTTAAAGCCACGGCCGCGCTGACTTGAGTCCCGAAACTTGAGTCAGCACAAGTGACATTACGGGGACGAGGCATTGCATTTCCAATTATGCAGAAACAAGAGTGCGCCTCAGACGCTGAAACTGTACGTTGAAGATGACAGCTTGCTTTTTCAAAAGCTCAAAAGTATGCTTCTTAAAGACAAAAAAAAATGATTAAGGCATGCATCTTATTTGAACGTCAAGCATGTTTGTAAGGTTCCCCCATCAGAGATTTAAGGGGGCAGTCACAATTCAGATTGTCCCAAAGAAGCGAAAAATGTCACCTCTGTCACTTTCGTTTGCCTGGCAGGGTATTTTTCTATGTAAAGCTGACCTCTCTTTTCCTACAGATTTCCTGAGCAGTGGAGAATAAACGTTTCATGAAAGCATACGTCCTTTCTCTGGGGCTCTCGGACAGACACCGAGGCCTAACACAGACTGACCTGGGCTGCGTTGAAGAGGCGGGGGGGCGGGGTACACAGCCACGTCCAGACGTGCGGACGTGGGTCCCAGAGCCGTGGGTCCTGCAGGGCCTCCCACTTAAGCGGTTCTTCCCCCGGCCCACGTTCCCAGTGCCCACTATGTCCCATCGCCTGCTTTTCTGGACCGTTTTCTCATAAAATTTCCAGGGTCTCTCCCTCTGTGTAATCCCAAGTTCAAGTTCAATGGTGGAGTTAAAAACAGTCATAAAGTCGATTGATTACCCGAAACGACATTAGCAGGGGAGGGTGGCGGGGTAACGAGGCAGATCTTTGGAGCTTCTCCCCGACGGCTCCTGAATACAACCCTTTTCTTCCAAACTGTTAATCCGTGTTCCCCGAATTCATGTTAAGTGTTAGGATGAAATTTTCTGACATTTGTTGTGCTTTCTGTTTTCAAATTTAAAACGTGCGTAGGATTTCTCTCCTTCCTTCTTTTAAAAAACAGGACTCCCCAATGTGCAGATTTCAAAAGAAACCTTTTGCGTGAGTCGACAGTTTTCAAGAAGAAAAAAAAAAAACTGGTTTTCTCTCCTATGTGGCTCTTTTTTTAAAAGCAAAGCAAAGAATCTATTGGAAAATGTAAAGTTAAGATGTTAACAAAATGGATCTGGTGAAAGGATCCACTTCTTTAAAAACGCAATCCAGAAACTGACACAACATTGCAAACTGACTATACATCAATTAAAATATATATATATATTTATATATATATATATACACATACATACACAAATGCAATCAGAAAAATCTTGGACACATACACGAAACTTACACACATACACATGCAATGAAATTAATACACTTCAAAAAAACATATATATAAAAAATGCAATCAGATAGCAAAATCTTGGACACACACATGAAACTTACACACATGTATATGCAATGAAATTAATGAGTAGAAAATATAGGAGAAATATAGGTGGTGCTTATGCTTAATTGTAGAATAAAAATATAGATAATTTTATAAAAGCATTTTTAGTTTATATGAAATGTAAAATGTTGTGACGGGTCCGAGAGTACTAAAAATCGTTCCTCTTTTTTTTTTTTTCTTTTTGAAATCCCGGCAGAGAACTGGACACACCAATGGGCAGCCTGAATAAACACTCTGCTCCCCAAATGCAGAGGGGATGGTGGGGAGGGTGGCATTGCAGTGAGCAGGCTGTTTGGGGACCACAGCCCTGGGACACGGACGTCAGAGGCTGATGAGTGAAACGCGTCTCTGTGGAGGGCACCTCTGTCTGCATCACAAAGCTGGCCCTGGCTGGGCCTCTGGGACCATTCCTAAGCTGCTAACGCGAGCCTCCCTCCCACTCCCTCCTTGTGTGGTCACGCCAACGAGCCCATGGGCTCCTCCCGGGGACCGCGTGCTCACCCACGGGGTATGGGGACACCCAGCAGAGGGGTGGGCCGCCCTCATCACCGCAGGGGTTCTCAGAGTTCAATGCATGTCCCCCGGTTTCCGGTGTGTTAAAGCGCTGATCGCCGGCCCCATCCCGGGGCTTCTGACTCGCTAGGTCTCGTCTGAGAATTTGCATTTCTCACAAGTCTCTCTTGGCCTGGGGACACACTGAAGACTATACTCAAGAGCTGAGCATTGGGTACCCAGGCAATGATGGGTTAAATTGCCCCCTCAGTGCCCAGTGGACAGAACACCTTCAGGCAGCTACGTCCAGACAGAAGGTTAAAGCAAACACTTAATTTGCATGCACGGTCAGATCTCAGACTGGTCGACTGGGCCTGCTTTCTTGTGCGGGACCGAGGCCAGCAGGTGGCCCCGAGCCCCAGGTAAGGCGGACTCTGGTGTGATAGGGTCAGAGCAAGTGGATTCTGGCAGGTTCCCATCAGCCACACAGAAGCAAGATGTGGTCCGATGTGAGCGGGGCCCTCCCAGGCGGAGGTCTGTGGGCCGGGGGCCGGGCTCACAGCCCACTGCTGTGCTATTAAACAGCGGGACACAGGAATCCAATTCGCAAAGCAGGGGTCCGCCGGGTCCCAGGGAACCAAACCGACCAGCCGCCGGGGAGGCCCGCAGTCTGCCCCCAGCCTCACTGCATCCCGCAGGCATATTTACTGCTCGGAAAAGAGCGAAGTCATTTAACACATCACCCCTACAGATTAATCTCTACCTGTTGTCGCGGCTGCGGTGCAAAATGGCACAGTGATACCTTCTACTTTGTAAGGAAAAAAAAAATCCTAAGAATATCAGTGGAGGCATCTACTCAGTTTGAAAACATTTTGCAAAATGCCACCTTTAGTTTTGAAGCAGGCATCTTCCCTCCCATCACGTGTTTGTAAAGGCGGATCTGCGTGCTCCTTAGGATGTGACCTGTAAGTCCGTTTTCTTAAAATCGGTGTAACGAGGCTGACAGCACTGATGGTTTCACAGCGGTCCGCTGAGTGGCAAACCCGTCATCAAATTCGTGCAGTTTTTATCTGTTCAGTAAAGTGCTTTTTTTTTTTTCCAATGTAACTAGAAATTGGGCCCCACTTAAGAATGGTAAGTAATACATTCACTGATAAAGGGTCGTGCATCCGTTAGAGGAATTTGTAAACCTCGGATGGTGTGGCCTCTGTCTCAAGTTCAAGTGGGAAAAAGTGTTCGGGAAAACAGAGACACACGCTCTAGAAGCCGGAATGGCTCTGGTGGGAATCCTGCCCCCGGCACTGGCCACCAGGCTGGCATTCTCCGGGCTGCGGCCAGGAGGGCCGCCCACGGAGGAGGGACACCGCTTTGGAAAGCTGTCCAGCGTCCCTTAAGACGGCTGAGGATGTCATAACCCACGGCTCGGCTACCCCCACCCCAGGTAAGTATCAAGGCCTGGAGGAACATTCTTCAGATTTTTGTTCCCACAGCCCGCAGAGCAATTTTTAAAAATGCAGGCACCCTTTGGCCCAGTAAGTTGTCACCTGGAATTTTCATCGTCAGGTTGACAGCAGTTCCAAAGGCTGTAACTTCAGGGAAAAAACAGAACACTGGGACTTGGACATCATTCTTTTTTGACGGATCCATTTGGATAAAAACACCCAGAGTGATGGAATTTCCACCACGACCTGTTTTTAAAATTCTCCAGCCACCTGCTTTTTTTTAAGATTTACATATTTGATACCCTTCCTTGTCTTTGTTTTCCTAGAGATCCTAGTCCCACTCACACCTGCCTCAGACTCATACACAAATATTTTCACGCTGGAATGTTTCTCTAATCCATCCCACTACCGTATTCTCTACAATAAAACCTCAAAAACATTTACGTTTCATTGTTTGTTTGCTGTGACTTTGTTGCAAACGTTTTTGCTGTAGATTGAGTTCGTGACAACGGTCGTACAAAACTGATCAGTGTCATTACGATGTGTTTTGATAGACGTCAAACAGAAGATTAGACGTTCTATCAGCAATAAAACTCAACACTCTGATGGGATTATGACCCACGCGTCTGCAGAGCCCTTTACGGCAGACGGGGAGGAGTCGGCTCGTGTCCTCGGCCACGGCCACTGTCACAGGCAGATCTGATCTAAGTAAGAGTTCGGGTGGGAATCGAGGTGTCTGGAAACTGACCGCCTTTAATTCTATTCTTTAATCTAAATCACCGTGTTCAGTTGGAAAACTGCTTACTGATGGCACTCATGCCCCCACCCCGGGTCAGCCTGCAGGTGGACATCAGATGGTCACCCTGGAGGCTGTCCCCTGACTGAGGAATTCCAGCAGCAAGGACGCCAGCACGGGCGCTGGCGGGTCACCTACTTGGAGTTGCATGTGGGCCTGAGGCCCCCGCTGCTTTCTGAGCCCACCTGTCACGGGAGAGAGGCGGGCAGTCCCAAGGATGTGGGTGAACCGTGGGGGGGACGTTTCAGGTTGTCACCCAGGCCCTGATGTCCACCCTGAGGCCCTGGCCCATGGACTTGCAAACTGGACCGCATCGCATCGCACCCCCCCGCCACCCGGCCGAGGTCCCGGACCCTTACCTCCCATTGACCACAGTTTCCTTCTCCAGCCCGCTGGGCAGAACCACGGTGATGTCCACCACCCTGCGCCCCAGGTCCTCCCGCATGTTGAGCACCTTCCGCTGAGGCCCGGGGGACACGTCGTGGGGAGGTTTCCATCCACCATGCACGTCCGGGGAGGCGGGCTTTCCAGGAGGCGGCGGGGCTCGAGCCTTCATCTTCCTCCTTGGGGGGGGTGACAACACGCAAGGACTGAGTAGAGGGACCATTTCCCGGCCCGAAGGATGTAAATCACCTGTTGGTATCCGATCTCCTTCTAAACCCTTCTACTCCTCCTTACAGGCATTCATCGCTCCTTCCGAGTCACGTGGACTTTTAAAAATCAACACATGGGCACTCTTGGACACCGAGAGAACACGGGTCACTAAGAAACGGTTCTGAAAGTTCAGTGTTCCTGGAAAGGAGCAGACTAAGGTGTGTTCACCACCTGGGAGTGGGCTGGGGAGCAGAATGCCACGTGGCCCCTTCCCTCAAAATATTCTGCAGCTGAGAAGCTGGTGTCAGTGAGCTCCCAGCTGCCCCAGAAGCACACGGTTCTGGGCTGCAGGGTGGGGATGGAAAGCCAGGGTGCCTGACTTCCGGGCGCCCCCTCTCCCACCCGCCCCGCCCGCCTCCAGCCGGACAGAGATGCAACAGGAACCCACGAAACGCGCACGGGGTCCGCTGGCCCAAAGCATCAGACCATCAGACCATCAGAATTCCACGTCTGGAAACACCTCCCAACCAAAAAACCCCACAAGGATGCACGGAGGGAGGGTCAAAGACGGCTCAGTGTAACGTACTTGAGAAGGCTAACAAGAGCAAGGTCATCTAACCGCAGGTACCATAAATTATGGTACCAAAACAATGTCCTACAAGTGCTGGTTCAATGTCCTTTGAAAGCATCTAATCTGGTGTTTCAAAATGCTCAACACAGGTATTTGAGAAAAATAAACTTCAAAATATTATCTCTTTCGAGAAACACCATTTATAAGAGAAGCATGTGTTATACACAGCAATGGACCGCAGAATGGTCTAGAAAACAAAGCAAAGAACTAGCTAGCAGCGATGACCTCTGGGTGACGGGGACCACGACATTTGCTATTTTTACTTCTATGCATTTCCAAATTGTTCCTGTAATATCACCTATGTATCACGTGCAAAATGAAAAGAGATCGTTTCAAAAGGAGAAAAAAATAGGAAGTGGGGTTCAAGGAGGCTTCAAGCCATCACTGCTCATGTCACTGGTTAACCCAAGACTTGGGAGTGACATCTGGGTCACATCCTCCACCACGAGCGTGGTCCATCTTTGCACGCCCCGATCGCCCGGCCACAAAGCTGCTCCCTACGGGCTGAGCCCGGGCTGCGAGCCCCCAGGCTGCACAGACACCCAGGGAAGTTTCTGTGGGTCCAGCGGTGTGTTCCGTGTGTGCATGTGTGTGTGTGTGCGGGTGTGCATGTGTGTGCACAGGTAAGTTAGCCAACGTTGAAAAAACCAGAACGTTTCACATTCACAAAATTAATTTCTGGCTCCTTTGGGGGGAAAAATCAAACAAAAAGACCTAACAGGGTGCTGAACATCGTCCCAGCAAAACCCAGCTGCGTGCGTCAGCCTGGACCCGTGGGCTCCATGCCATCACGCATCCGTCCCCTGGTGACAGCCGCATCGAGCCAGCAGAACCTGAATGTCCAAGAGCTGGTGTGCGTTAATGATCGCAGCATCTCTCTAGAGCGGAGGCTCCTGTCTGAATGTTAAATCAGCACATGGCTTGAGCTGCAACTCTGTGTCATTTGAGGAAAGCCAGTGAGACAAAAATACACAGCTAATGTGTTAATAACTTCATGGGTCCGTTTGATGTCACAGAATAACATTTGCATTATTTTCAGAAGTTGCCCGTGGAAAATGCTCACACCAGAAGTGATGCCTGGGGTGTACACGGATTCGTGGACCCACTTCAGAAGTCCTGTGTGTCCAGGCATGTGCAGCGGCTTGACGCCAGCCTGGGACCCTGGACGCAGAGGTCCCACCGCACATGTCACGTGTCTGCTCACGTGGCAAGCTGGCACCTCATTTCCTCCATGATTATTTACCGTCTCCAGAGGGCAGCAGGTGCTATGTGAAGGCTGCCTGCATTTTCACTAGTTTGCACACTTTTCTTCGTATCTGTAGGTCGTTAAAAATCCTTATTGACGATGATAATGACAATGGTACAGATCAACACAGTTGGAGCCTGCAAGGGACATGGAAGACCCACAGAACCTCGAGACAACAATGGAACTGAAGAAATCCGTGTGGATGCAGGGGTGGGGTGTTTCAGGCAGAGGGGAGACC